GTGTCTGAACCTTTGTGTTCACGTAGTGGAGACTGTCCATATGCTGCTGGAACAACAATGCCTTCTCCTCACCAGACTGTGGCAGCAGTAACAATTGGGGGGTTGACAAGTACAGCAGCATGCATGGCAGAGACAAACAAAGAAAGCGCTTGAATGCACTGTCCTGTCCTACAAGTGCAGCAACTGCATGGTCCGTTTAATTACCCTTCAGTCTTCACTCCATTTTTGTTCGTTGGCTGTAGTTCTCGACACCGAAACAGTTCATTGATCTCCTCCAGTACTTTTCTAATCAGGACATGACAGGAACCGTTGGGCTGGAGGTTGCCTCAGTACGTTGTTGCTGACTGGTCATACACAAGCTTTGAGATGGGAATTGTAATATAAATGTATTGTTCGGTACTATTTGTTCTGCTGAGTTGTGAGAGATTGAGATAAAACATACCTCGATGTTTAAATGCAGTTCTGCACTAAAGTAGAAAAATAAGTTCTTCGACAGATTTTCTTCAGACTCCCTTTTCTTCCCTTTCTGCACAGCGGCTTTCTAAAATCAGTTTAGAAATCACGCAGTCATGGAACATTGAATTATAAGGAATGATAAATGACTCTGTGCTGTTGTCTAGTCCTCGTGCCTCAAACGAATCTGTCACTTTTTAATATTTTATCGGCTTGATGCTGCTCTTCTTTGTTGTTCAGATCTGTTTGTTTGAAAAAAAAAAAGCCGTTAGAAATTCTCTCACTGTCACTTTTAACGAAGTGTTTCCACTCTTTGTGTGCTTTGCAATGGTTTATCATTTCCAGTAGGCTGCAGAATGCCCAAATACAACTGAACTTGAAAGTTAAATTAAACTATTGTTGACGGCAATGTGACCAAATGCCTTTATACTCTCCGTATTTGCCTTGAGATCTGTTTGTTTAATTACTCCTTTAAACCAGATGGGAGACCTTACAGTGCGATACGAAGATCTTTGTTTTTGTGTCACAACTTCAGCAAGTTAAACTACAAACTAGACCATTTTGCCAGAGGAAACAAAGCAACCGTGTCTAATCCACTGTCTAGATCCACAGTCAATAATTGTTGAATATCTGCATACATGTGAACATTTCATTTCATGTAGAATGTCCTACTTCAAAGTAGTCACAATTTGCACTGTCGGTGCTATAAAGTAGGGTTGAACAATAAATTGAATATCAATCGGCATCCAGATTTTGGCTTATCACAACTGCAACATCAACGTTTAAAATGCACGCACTGCTCATCGGAAACTCTGCTGCATATCAAATCAAGTGCTTCCTAAACTAACAGCCAGCCAGCGGGGGGGGCGATCGTGTCGTTTTGGCTCCACACTTTTGGGGAGCTGCCATGTCGCTGCAGTGTCCTGAATGTTGCGGCTGCAGTCCGGGGCAGAGTGATGAACTGTATATTACTGCAGAGAGCAGACGGGCAAGACAAAAATGCACGGAATTCATCTGAAGAACAGCCCGATTTCAAGTCTTATTTAGATGCAAATATTTGTACATTAGCAGGAATGTAGCACAACATGGAAGTGAAACTAGTGCTCTGTTATTTTAAATCTGCAATATGTTGTCCCTAAAATGTATGAATAATCATGATTTCCGTATTGATCGAAATCATTTTGATCATTTTTTCTTTTCTTTAAAGTTGTTTTCTTCAGATCGTTGCACTAAAACCTAAGCATTATTATTACACTGATCATTGGGTACACTTTCTCTTACTACACTTTTGCGTCACTCTATATCGTTGCTTCTGCAAGCATCTGAGGCTTTGCCAAGAAAAGAACAAACAGCTGGTTAAGTATAATTGTGCAGTGTGTTTGTGCACACTTGCTCACATACACAGCAGGTATTTAAGGGCGCATTGGTACTTGAATTTGAGCAGCTGTGAGCATGGCATGATAACATAAGCGGAATGGTGATGTGGGTTGGGAGTTAGACCCAAACTGTGCGCGCGTCTGTTGGCTCGCCGTGAGTCACTAATACAGTGCGTGTCAGGCAGTGGTCACGGCTTTCACTCTGAGTCAGCGGAGAACAGAACAAGGCGAGAGGAGGACGCCGCCTCTGTGCCGAGTGGCGCTGTAGTTGGGAGCTTCTCACCACGCGGGACCGGGCTGCGCTTTTGTTTGTCCGGTTATTGATTGTCTCTCGCCGAAGCTCGCAGCCATCCTTCATGTTCCCATGTTGTCCATTGTGCCGGTTTCTTGAAACTGTGAGCTAGAGGAGAGGGTCATAAAGGTGAGACAAAGAGCAGAGAGAGAGAGAGATGGACTCCAGTCTGTGGGGCTGATGAGTTGAGCAGAGGTGATTTAGAGGGAGAAACATCATTATAGGCAGATATCAAGTCATTCATGAAGTGTGAGGAGAGAGAAACTGGCTCATAAGTTATTGATTCGTATAGCACTCCTTTTGTCTCACACTGCTTTTGTCCGATTCTGTCAAATTGTCCTGATGGATTTTTCACTTTACTCCCCCTCGCTTATGATTCCATCATGTCCCTTTCTTTCTCCCCCTGGCCAGCAGCAATAATGAGCCATATCAGTCCTCCAGTGCTCCGTTTGTAGCAATCTACCGACTGGAAGATGTTGCAGATGTTGCCTCTCTGTCCTCTCCTCACCTTCGTCTTCCCTCCAGCTGTTGACTCTTGAACTGTGAAATTACAGAAGTTTTCCTTTTCATTTTTTGTTGCTTTAGGGAATCTTGGGAGTTCATCTCTTTTGTCTTGATTGTTAGATTACATGACAATCAAAGGTGACATGATTACTAAGGAGGCTTAGGGAGCTTTTCGCCACGTTTTGGTGTGCATTTAGCAGACTGCTCTGCCTGACAGCGAGTGTGTGTGTTGTTCCTCTAAGGGCCCACATGTATGACACGACTGGAGCTGAATGAAGTCTGGCACGCCTGCTGAGCAGGCTGTCTCAAAGCAGATTGACCATCTTGTCACACCTGGTGGATGACTATTTCTCTTGAGAAAAACAAGTAGATTTTATTTTCAATGGTCCTTACTTTTAGGGAAGTGTATCGTTTGATATTTCTCAATCCTACCTCAAATCTTACTTTTTCATTAATTATTTTTTCAATATTATACTGAAAAAATAATATATATATATATTTTTTGAATTGAACAAAAGAAAGGCAAACTACTAAAATGTTGATGATTGTCGTAACACAAGGAGCCATAAAAAAATGTAGCTTAAATAGAATACAGTCTGAATTTGGTACTTGATACTAGGTTTCCACACTTTTTTGTTGGCGCCAAAAAAAGGAGTGAAGTACCCAAATACCCAGCCCTTAGAGACTGTTGGACAATGTCTGCCTGCACAAATATCGTTGAGTCTGAGCCTAATGTCACTTTGCAGTAGTGGGATTAACGAGTGTAGCTTGTTCGTGTTCTTTCTATTTAAAACATATAGCAGGCATCGCCTGCCGTGTGTCAGGCAGGCCCATAAAGCAGATTTACGAGGAGGCACTGTGTCGCTCTGCAGCCGTGCATGTTCGATCAATGCCCTTAAGCTGTTGAAAGCAACACTTGGCTTGTTAACAACTGTCTGCGAGTGAGCCACATCGGCAAAAGCACAATATCTCTTTTGTACTGAGGGCTGTCTTTTTTTGCATGGATGTCATTCGTACCTTCATCTGTCAGCCCTTTTTGTCCGTCATGTTTTTACCACGAATGCGTTTAAATGTTTTCTGCTCGTGCTCGTGACTCAACACTGTGACGGGGTGAGCCGTAGCTGCAGAGGAAAGACTCCAGTAAGGTGGATGTTGCTTCATTTTTTTTTTCTGGATTCATCAGTAGGCAGTTGTTATCCATAAGAACTGCACAGACTAATATTGTGTCAAGGCTATAAGTTGTGTGTGAGTTTGTCTGCCCCCGAATGGTCATAAACTGCGTAATGCAGCTTTAATTAACATGGATATGGACCCGAGCAAGGTACATAAACCTCTATTTGATTCTGTGCAGTTTCTCGGTGCTCTGCAGCATCATGCAGAGAAGCATTTAAATCTCCCCCTTTCAGGCAACGATCCACCCTGGACTTGTCCAATATAGCTGCTAGGCTATTAACTTGTATTATGAATATTAAGTAGTGATCCCTGCTGTTCCCTTTAAACCTGGATTGAGCTGCTGTTTTGGATAAATAAATGGTTGGATTACAATATAATCCATTGTAAAGGGTGATACGCAGATTATTAATAGATTTCACATACAGGTCTCAGTGGGCACTAATGGAAACTGCATTTTGTAGTTTTTTTTTTTTCTTTTCTTTTTATAGTAATTCATTTTTTGATTCATGTGATTAAACATCCAAGCAGGGATGAGGGATATGTTAAATTGACTACTTGCCTATTTTAACACATGTTGTAACTGATCCTGTGTTCAAGATGTGGTAAAACAAATGCTAACAATACTTTTGTGTTTTAAGATAAGTGTACAGAAGGGAGAGGCCATAGTAATAATACCTCGAGTCTTTTAAGTCTGAAAATACTCCGGTGTGAATTATAATTTGTCCTGAGACGACTCGCAACATTGAGTTTGATACCATACCTTACAATGATTCAGTGCATTGCCTGATAATATCTTTTACAGTTCAATTTCCAATTAGTTCAAAAAAAAAATCTCACACAAAGAAATAAACAATGGGCCATTTCAGAGTGTTTCGTCAGTAGCATAATTAACACAAACAACAACCGTGTTATTGGCAGTGCAACAATAAAACCCAATGCAGTGACAAAAACACAAGCTGTCACCACTGCTTTACCGCCGCAGCACGGTGTATTGCAGCTGATTTTACACAGCATATTATAAACTTTGCTGTGTATTTAAAGGAGAACCAGGCAGGGGACGACATTAAACAATACAAGGTAGTGTTGTTCCCCTAAAATCAACAATTTAGGTGTTAATGCTGCTGGAGGTAGCCGCAGGACAAGCGAATTACCTCGAGCTTGTGGGTACAGAGGAGAGGGGTTAAGGTAGAGACAAGGAGGCGATGGAGATTGCGTAAATACCACTGCATAAATCTCCTGTGCAGTGTCTGATTTATTTGTTAACATCATATTGTGATTGTTCATAGAAAACAAAAAGTGCTCTTATGCTAGGACATGCACACACACACACACTAGGACGGTAATCAAAGAAGTCACAGTGGTAACACAGTCGTAGTATTGACTGACACCCGAGGGTGTTGATGGCAGAATGTGTCAAACAGAAGGAAATGAGTCGTCTCCTGTGGGACAAAAGCTGTTATAAAGATGTTTGAGGCACAATCCACCAGCTACCACTCGCAGCATTACATCTGATAAAGAAACATGCGGAGATATTGTGGCACACGTTTAGATAGTGGAATAAATTAATTTATTTTTAACCAGTAGTTGCTGCATTTCTAAATGGCCTATATAATGAACCCCTTCTCTGTTATTCCTCTCTATTTTCTTCAGTGTACGTGCACTCTCTATTTAAGTGCTTGACCTAAATGTAGTTGTAGAGAGGTAGAAATTGTTAGGACTCGACTAAAACCCATTATCCTGTCGCTGCATCAGCCATTAATGCTTCGGACATTCGGATGAAAAAGCAGGACATTCTCGTGTTGGCTCTACTGCTGTGAGGTCTGCATGTCACGGGTAAAGGGTCAACGGGGTGGTCACTGTTGTCCTCGATGAGCGTTGTCTAAATGTGTGCGTGTGTAAACCGCGAGTGGTGTTTAGCAATGACTTACTTAGTAGTCGGTATGGGACAGTTTTTGCAAGCGTTCAGGCTCGGTATGCACACACACACACACACACACACACACACACACATACTTAAACCTGGCATCTCACTTTACTCAGGTAGATGTTGGAGAAGTTGCTCCAGCAGTGTTTTGCTGAATATGCAGCGAGTTGCTTCAGTGACCTGATTTCCTATGACAGGAATTACTCGAGCATTCAGTCTGGCGCATGCGCGCACGCACACACACACACACACACACACAAACATTCACCTCCCAGTCTCTGCCTTCCTCTCTTTTTTTTCTGCCGCTCCGTCTCCGTTCAGTACCTTCACAAACCTCACCTGCTTCTCACATCCTTTCATCCCGTCTCCTCATGCCCGTGTTTGACAGCAATGGGAGATGAACGCTCAACCCCCCCCCCCCCCCTCAGAATGTGCAGCATGCTATATAACCTGCAGAGAGCACCGTGGCACAGATTTCTAAAATGTGTCACAATCTTGCTTTAGCCACACTTACTGCACACTTCATTAAGCTGTTTTTCGCTCATCTACATTGTGTGTGGGTGTGTGCAGTCTTTCTTGCTATCTCACTTTATCTTTTTCTCTTTTGTCCGCAGTTCTTCCCCGCTTCTCTCTCTCCCGCCTTTTTTCCTCTCTCTCTTCTCCTCTCTCGTTCATCCTCACCTTCTCACCCTCCTCGTGCAAATCCTCTTTCCGATGCAAAGCTTTGGTATTCATATATGCAAATCACCCTTAAAGCACAAAGTCGTAGAGATTGCCCTACTGACACTGCGAGCACATACTGTATGGTGTGTCACTTAACTGTGTGTGTGTGTCGGAGCATGATAAACGCATGATGGAGAGTGTGTGTCAATGTACTGGTCTCAGCCCCTACCATTCTCGTAAACTGTACTTATCTGTAGTTAATTTGTAGCCAATTTAAGGGCATTGATGAGCACTTAACCTGTCACCGCACCAAAAGCCGCACTGCAGCAGCTTCTAATTCTCTCTCTCTCTCTCTCTCTCTCTAGCTGTCCTATCTAATTTAACACTCCTTCTCTCTCTCCCCGTCTTTTGCTTATTTTTCTTCTCTTGCTCCCCCTGCTGCATCTGCATTCCCTCAATTTCCCATCTTATCTCTTTCCTTCTGTTTTCTCCAATGACCTCTGTTGCGCTCTCTCCTAATCCCCCTCTCTTAAATGTAGTATAGGAAGACACAATTAATCCCACCCCCTCCTTTTCTTGCCTTTCGGCTGAGATAGTAGAGGGTACTCCAAAGAGGTGTGCATCCCTATGAGTCACTGCATGTGTGTCTGTGTGTGAGAGATAGACGGAGACTGGAACGGGGGTGTGTAAGGAGGTGAAGAGCATTGCGTCATTGGGGGTGTGTTGAGAGGGAGGCGGACTGAGCCGTCTGTCAGTCAGTGACGCGAGTGGAGCACGTGCGTCGGTCCATGGCTGGGAAGACGCTGTGCGGTGGTTATCTGGCTGTGGGCGAGGAGAGCGAGAAACACCGCAGCTCCCCTTGCCGACGGGTTGATCGAGGGAATGAGTGTGTGTGTGTGTGTGTGTGTGTGTGTGTGTGTGTGTGTGTGTGTGCGTGCGAGAGTCTGGGTCTGTGCACATGTAGATGCTGCATGGACTGCCGCCGCTACTACTGCTGCTGGTGAATAATGCAGACAGGGAAGCGGAGTTTGGATAGCATGCAGGGAGCCAGATTAATAATGCATCCTGCCGGGTTACGAGCTCTGCATTAGTTTTCTGCTGGAACCTGTAGCTGCCTACTGTCTGCCTGCCTGCTTGACTTACTGACTTCCCACCTACCTTTCTGCCTGCCTGCCAGCATTTCTACCTGACTGGCGGACTGTCTGACTTATTCAGAAAATGTCTCACTACCATTTCATCAAATGCTGTAAGTAGCCATTCACCATCTCTTTCTCTGTGTGTGTGTGTGTGTGTGTGTGTGTGTGTGTGTGTGTGTGTGTGT